TATTGGCGATCGAAATGGGCTGCAGGTGGCGTAGAGCAGAACTCTTTACCTATGGCAACACTTCACATGCTTTCCCCATTAGCCTGTGGAAAGTCATAGAGGAAGGAAGTACGTTAGTTTCTCTCTTGATTTTCATACAGATTAAAATCTTTTAAGTTGGAAAACTATATAGAACTGAAAACTACATTAAACATATTTCTAAAGAAAAGTATCACAAGAATTTTAAAAAATATTTTTATTTACTAAAAAGGTAAAATATTAAGAAAAGAGAAAATATCGTAGAACATTCCCATGCAACTGAAAAGAGGAGGCGCGGGGAGGGAGAAGGGCTAAAAGCATGAAACCGGTCTCTCCCCAGATGGCGTATTCGAGTGTTGCGATCGCCAATTGTAATTACTATAAGTGTAACAATAACTGATGGAGTTTTTTTTAAGCTTACGCGTAAAAAAGTGGCAACACGGAAATCTAACGACAACTCTTAACTCTTAGCGCCATCTCTGCTTCGCTTTACACGATCAACCATCCAACCAGAGCCTTGGTGGCTCTGGGGATAGAGAGTTCACCCTCTAACGAAGTGACCCGGGTTCAATTCCAATCATAGCTGGGATTCAATTCTGCACCCGGCTCGCACAGATCTCAGTGCTGACGTAAAATATCCCTAGTGGAAGACGGATCATGGTTTAGACGGACATTTTCCCTTACTGTCAGTCTAAACGTGGGATGTTTTCGTGGTTTCCCGCTTCATGTAATGCAAATGAGGGTCATCAAATAGAATTTCCTTCGATACTTGATTCAGGAATTCCCTTGTTTTCTGGATTGGCTTCAAAACTATAAGGTTACGGAGTTGAACATAACCAAACCAAAAAAATCGTAGTCGTAAACCAAAATTTTTTTTTTTTAAAAATGGGTCGGCTGTTCAACGACGGTCATAAAATGAAAACCATCCATCCATCCATTTGTATTTTGTGGGGTAGATTCGGGACTTTTTGTCTAATATGTTAAAGTATAAAAATATATTTAGAAGACAATAATATTAATTGAATTTTTTTCTTCTTCTCCAGAGTTGGCATTAGTTCGGAACAAGCCAAGAGCGGGCACCGCAAGAGCTTTAGAAGATTCAGAGTTAGCTTTTTTGGACGTTGGCGCTTTTGAGAGACTTCTTGGACCCTGCATGGATATCATAAATCAGAGAGCGGATTCTTACGAGAAAATAGATAAATAGAAAATCATGTTACTGCATTTAATTTATTTTTGTTTGTCAAAAAATTATATTTTTTGAAAAGAAATATTTTAGTAAGAACTTATTGTTTTCGTTATCAAGATTCGATCGATCTTTTGAAAATTTAGAAAGTTGTAGTGAAATTAGGAAAATAAATTGTATTTTAATAAGTTTCTAGTCATCACTATAATTAATAATTTCGAATAAATATATTACAGGACAAAAAATTATGTCAAAGACTTAGTTCAATCTAAGCTTCCAATTTCAGTCAGTGAAATCACTGTAACATCAACTTCTCACTGAAAAAATAATTTGTTTCGTATGTAACTAGTATTTTTTATAAAACTTATTTCATTACCTTCATTGTTTTCTATATTTTATTTATTTTGAGGTGATTTTCTTCTCACCTGATTGCAAAAATTTGACAGTAGTAGTCAAATATCAGATAGCGACCGGCAAGAATTATTATAAAACAAAAAATGAGAAAACGTAATTTTCCATGTTTTACTCTCTGAAAATATAAAGGTAACATCAAATTAGTTATAAATGTACTAGATGAATTTCTGTGAATAAAAAAGCATTTTGTTTCTCGTTTAGACGTTTAAGAACTTTTAATTTCACCATTGAAATTGATAACGTCTCGTAACTTAAAACAGAAAAGAAGAACCAAAATGTACGAGGTTAAAGATAATTAAATCCAGAACTTCAAAAGTAAAAGTTATTAATGCTTGAAAATTCTTCCGATTTCATAATATATTTTTTAATGTCATTATTCAAAATATCTTTGTGTTTTTATTTTAACGCCTAATTTTAAATATTTCTGAGCAAGTGTAATATTTTTTTTATTATTATATGACCAAAGCTTATTTTTTTAGTAATTTTCATTTAAGATTTTTGTTTCCAGTGATAAAATATAAAATAAAATTGCTATTATAAATATATATTGAAATTAGGCTACCTAATTAATGAATTATAAGGACATTTTTATAGTTACATATTGTTATCGGACAATATGTCACTATAAAAGTGTCCTTATATGCTTTCTTTTATTTAACAGTAAAAGTTAAAAATTAAAATTATAAAATGATAATGAAACGATGACGACAACCATTGAGATATTTTTCTAATTTTAAACTATTATTTTTTAATATTATTAAGAATACTAAGAAATGTATGAACGCTATATTTTTGCACAGAAATAATTTGTCAGCAGTTTAAAATTTGACAGGAATCAATCTATTATCAGGAAAGTGTCGAACATTTAACTCGTTTCTCACAGAAAGTATGAACAGTAAAGTTTTCATATCCTCTAGTTTTGATTTTCGAAATCTGTGTACGGCGTGACGTCATGAGGTGGAGAATCGTATTTTTTTTTATCGTACATATTTTTTTTTTTTTACATCTTCAGCTTTGAGTAAGGAATGACCAGTCCTTCTTTGTCTGCTCTTTAGCCCTGACTATATCATATAAATCGAACTACTTATCCAACAACAACACGGACAACTGATCTCTCAATGTTACAACAAACTCAAATTCAAGACGGATGGCATAGGGGTTGTTCGTAGCATTACTATGACTACGACTGCATCATGTTATTCACTTGCATAATACATTGCCAACAGGTCAAGTAAAAATACTTTTTTGAACTTTCTGTGCTCCACGCAAAAGTTTAAAAAGTGGTAGCAAAACCTTTTCGTTTCCGTTCTGATTTTCGAAGAAATTATCCTTGCATGATTACCACAAACATAAAGGATACAGTATATATGTAATCAGTACTTTAATCGTTCGTTATGAATTCTTTTTTTAAAATTGAGGCTATAGTGGTAAATTTACTCAAACTTTAAAGAAATCTTGCCTACCACTTTTCTAAAATTTTAATTTCTAACAACTGTAATAGCTTTTCTGGAAAATTCGCCAGCATGGCAAATGTTAAGAAAAACTCTGCTCCCCGGTGATAGAAATATTGTGAGATTTTAACCTGCTTCTATTTTTATTTTATTTCTTATTTATTTCTTATCTATATTATATAAAACGCTAATACGTACGTACGTATGTATGTATCAATAAAACCGATGATATTTCTTTTCTCGCGCTGGCAACAGTTTTCATTTTTAATTGATTGGATTCGGCGCGCAAGAGCACGTAGTGAGCAACCAGATAACAATAACCAGAGTGAGCATTATCAGGTTGTTCAATTCAGATTCATGCACTAAAAAC